ATTATAAATGAATAAAAAATAAAATCATTATGCAAAAATATAAAAAATGAAATTTCAGACCAGATTAGACCAGACCAAAACAGACCAGATTAGACCAGAATAAAACAGTCTAAACCACCCATCAAAATTAATTTATGTGGATTCAGCAAAAAAAACTTCACGCGGTTATTATTCCTATTTTGATTTTTGACCAGTAGTTTTATGTTAGAAAATAGAAGAGGTTGTTGGTTGTATGAGTAGAATAAGTGATTTTAGTGAGGTGTAATGTAGATGATGTGTTTTAGAGGAGAGCTCTTGTCTCTAGAAAAGTAGTATTGTATTGATGTTTCTTGGTTTTGCTTGGTATGCAAATGAGTACAATGAGTCCTATTTATAGGAGCTAGAGGATCATTCTAGATCCTTATTAAATGCTATGATTCTAGAGTATTCTACATCTATGTCTAATTACTCTAGATTTTACATAAGAATTCTCTAGTGGAGAATTTTCTAGAATACTTTCTAGCTTTAACTCTCTAGATCATCTCTAGCCTTTTCTACATAGAACATTCTAGATAAATGCATCACTATTTAATACTCCTCCTTGATGCATTTGTCGGTGACTCCAAGCATTCTTCGCAGAAACTGGAATCTGTCTCTTGGCAGGGCCTTCGTGAAAATATCTGCCAATTTTTCTTCTGTTGGGCAGTACTTCATCTCAATATGCCCCTTTGCTTGGACATCTCTCAAGAAGTGATACTTGATATCGATGTGCTTAGTATGATTGTGCTGAATTGGATTTTTAGCCATCGCAATAGCTGACTTGTTGTCGCAAAATATTTTAGTCGCAGAACTTTGCAATTCTCTCATGTCTTCTAATATTCTTTTTAGCCATATAGCTTGGCACGCTGCTCCGGCTGCTGCAACATACTCGGCTTCGGGTAAAGATAGTGCAACAGAATCTTGCTTCTTTGATCCCCATGAGAAAATTCCCGAACCCAGCTTAAATGCGTAACCGGAGGTGCTTTTCATGTCATCTTGAGATCCAGCCCAATCACTGTCGCTATATCCAGTTAGTCGTGAGTCAGGAGTTGTTTTGTACCAAATACCATAATTGATGGTTCCTTGTAGATACCTAAGGAGTCTCTTTGCCGCTCCATAATGAGTCTCAGTTGGACTTTCCATGAACCTCGAGAGCAAACTTGTAACATACATGATGTCCGGCCTCGTAGCCGTTAAGTAGAGTAGACTCCCAATCAAACTTCGGTAATTGGTTGCATTCGTCTGCTTTGACCCATCTTCTTTCTTCAATTTTTCATTAGGAACCAGTGGAGTAACGACGGCTTTGCAGTCTTGCATTTTAAACTTCTTTAGCATGTCCTTAATATATTTTTCTTGAGATAAGAATATGCCTTCTTCTTCTTGACTTATCTCCATGCCAAGAAAGTAGTGCATTAATCCCAAGTCACTCATCTCAAAAGTGTTCATCATGTCTCTCTTAAATTCTTCAATTAATTTGGAATTATTTCCCGTGACAATTAAGTCATCAACATATAGAGAGACGATGAGAATGTCAGATTTACCTTGGGATTTGATGTATAGTGTAGCCTCGTTCTTACTCCTCCTGAACCCTTGACGGGTGAAGTATCCATCAATCTTGCTATACCACGCTCGTGGAGCTTGTTTGAGCCCGTAAAGCGCTTTCTTTAGACGAAGAATTTTTCCTTCTTCTTTGATGAATCCTTCTGGTTGCTCCACATACACTTCTTCTCGTAGCTCTCCATTTAGAAAGACTGACTTGACGTCTAGCTGATAAATTTTCCATTTCTTCTGAGCAGCAAGAGCTATGAGTGTTCTTATTGTGTCCATCCGGGCAACTGGTGCAAACGTCTCTGTGTAGTCAACTCCCGGTATTTGAGCATACCCCTTTGCAACCAGCCTTGCCTTATGCTTCTGAATTGAGCCATCGGGGTTCAGTTTTGTTTTATACACCCATTTGACTCCAATAACCTCCTTGTTATGTGGAAGATCTACCATTTCCCAAGTATCATTCTTTTCTATCATTTTGATCTCCTCCTCCATTGCTTTAATCCAAACTTTTTCTTTGGAGGCTTCGGTGTAGCTATATGGCTCCAAGGAGCAAAAGTTGCATGTTTCATAGATGTCAGTAGACTCATATAGGTCTGCTAGAGTTCTTACCCGAAGAGGTGGGGACTCTGGTGAGGAGTCGTGATTTCTTGATGTATTAGCTTCAAAAGAGGATCTTGGAGAGGATCTTGGAGTAGACGTGGGGCTTTGTTGATCGTGATTTTCCTCTTCTGGTATTTCCTCTAGTTGGACAGTAGTTGTCTTTCTTTCAACTTTTTCTGTCTCCCAATTCCAAGAGGCTTGCTCGTCAAACTCCACATCTCGACTTGTCACCAACTTCTTTGTCTCGAGATTGTAGATTCGATATCCCTTGGATTTGGAGCTATAGCCAAGGAAGATGCCCTTCTCTGTCTTGTCTTCTAATTTGTGCCTTTTAACATAGGGAACATGAATGTAGCATATGCTTCCGAAGACCTTCAAATGTTTGGCTGAAGGCTTTTGTCCCGAACATGCCTCAATAGGTGTTTTGTTTAAAACCGCCTTAGTTGGACACCGGTTTAGAATATAGACTGAAGTATATACTGCCTCTGCCCAGAACGTTTTAGGCATTCCTTTTTCAGCTAACATAGACCTTGCCATCTCCATGACTGTGCGGTTCTTCCTTTCGGATACCCCATTTTGTTGTGGAGTGTATGCTACTGTTAGTTGATGCTCTACACCTTCATCTTCACAGAACTTGTCAAATTCTTTTGAGTTGTATTCGGTACCTCGATCGCTTCTCAACTTCTTGATTTGATGACCACTCTGTTTCTCCACGAAGTTCTTGAATCTCTTGAATATTCTAAAGACTTCGGATTTTTCTTGGAAAAAATACACCCATGTCATCCTAGAGTAATCATCGATGAAGAGTATGAAGTACCTGTTCTTCGAAACTGAAGGCGTGCGCATTGGACCGCAGACATCGGTGTGGACAAGCTCTAGTATCTGTTTGGCTCTCCATGTCTTTTCTGTTGGAAATGGTTGCCTGTGCTGCTTCCCAACCATACATCCTTCACATACTCCTTCTTTTTCATCCACTAGAGGCATGTCTCTCATCATCTTCTTTTGGTGTAGTAATCTCAAGGCATTGAGATTGAAGTGCCCAAATCTTCGATGCCATAGACTCGTATCACTCAGTTGAGCCACCATCGCCTTTTGTGGATATTGCCATTGAATAGGAAAATTTCTATTATTTCCCATTTTTACTTCAGCAATTTCTTGATTATTATTCTTGTCATAAATTCGGCAAGAATTTTTCTCAAAGTGCAAGGCATATCCACTTTCCATCATTTGGCCAACACTTAGTAGATTTTGTGCAAGGCGTGGCACTAGGAGAACGTTTCTAATAAAGCGTGTACCTTTCTTTGTATCTATGACAATGGTACATTTCCCCTTTGCCTCCACCAAATCGCCATTGCCCATCTTGACCTTTTTCTTGATAGAGGTGTCTAAGTCATGGAAGATGGTCTCGTTGGATGTCATGTGATTGCTGCACCCACTATCGATGTACCACTCCTCTTCTTTTGCTTCTATGGCTGAGTGACATGCGTAGAACATGTACTCCTTCTCCTTAAAATCTTCAGAATAGTTGGCCTGATAGTTTCTTCTATCTCTGCAATCTTTTTCTTCATGCCCGAACCTCTTGCAATTTCTGCATTGTGGCTTTCCTCGATGGTAGCAATCTTTCTCTAAGTGATTAGTCTTCTTGCATATTTTGCATGGTGGAAAGTTCATCTTCCTCTCCTTATTGTTAGAATTCCCATCTTTATGTGGTTTAAAGTTTTCACCATTTCTCGAGTGATTCCTTTTAATGTTGAGCTTAGACTGGAAGACACTTTCTAATGAACTTTCGTGTCGTCTGTTTAGCCTTTGCTCACGTGCTTCTAGCGACCCCATTAATTCAGTGATGGACATTTTTGATAGATCTTTTGACTCCTCAATAGCCGAAACTACTGGATCATATTTTTCAGGGAGACTGGTCAGGACCTTCTGGATTATTCTCTCGTCGGTTATGTTTTCTCCAAGAGTTCTCATTTCATTGACTATATGTATAACCCGAGAGAAATAATCTTTTGCCATTTCAGAATCTCTCATCTTTAAATTTTCGAGCTCTCTTCTTAAACTTTGTAATCTAATAGTTCTAACTTTCTCATTTCCTTGAAATTCCTCCTTAAGAATATCCCAAGCTTCTTTTGCCGTAGTAGCACGAATTATTCTCGGGAAAATAGTATCACAAACGGATTGTTGAAGAAGATAGAGAGCTCTAGCATTTTGCTGTTTTTGTTTCTTACGTACCTCGGAAGTTGATGCGTCGTCGCTTCCTTTTTCCGGCATGATGATTCCTTCTTCAATAATATCCCAGAGATCATGTGATTCTAGGCAAGTCTTCATACGGACACTCCAATAGTCATAGCTTTCTCCATTGAACATCGGAGTTGACACCGAGAAGCTTGATGTCGCCATAATGCCCGCTTATGATCGAACAAGCTCTGATACCACTTGTTAGAAAATAGAAGAGGTTGTTGGTTGTATGAGTAGAATAAGTGATTTTAGTGAGGTGTAATGTAGATGATGTGTTTTAGAGGAGAGCTCTTGTCTCTAGAAAAGTAGTATTGTATTGATGTTTCTTGGTTTTGCTTGGTATGCAAATGAGTACAATGAGTCCTATTTATAGGAGCTAGAGGATCATTCTAGATCCTTATTAAATGCTATGATTCTAGAGTATTCTACATCTATGTCTAATTACTCTAGATTTTACATAAGAATTCTCTAGTAGAGAATTTTCTAGAATACTTTCTAGCTTTAACTCTCTAGATCATCTCTAGCCTTTTCTACATAGAACATTCTAGATAAATGCATCACTATTTAATATTTTAAAATGAGCTGTGAAGGCTGACCGTGCCAGTGAGCCTGAAGATGCTGCTGCGTGACAAAATCCATATCTTTGATGTACAGCTGCTGGAGAGCCGCCGGGCTTACGAAGTATGACATCAGCTTCTTCATCTGCTTCGCCTCCTCGCCGCCGCTAGTCGTCAGGCACACTCCCAGCAGCTTCTGCACGGAAGCCGGCCACCACGTCGCCACCAGCTTGTTCCCGTTGCTGAACAGGAACTTGTTCCCCGCCGGGCCGCTCAGCACAGCCACCGCCTCGCCCATCAAGCAAGTCTTGAACACCCCAGACTTGTATTTGCTCACTCTGTCCGCCACGAATTTCTCCGGCCTCCCTTCCCGGCTTAAGCGGAGGAACTCCAGCGATTCGCCGACCACCGGCCATCCGAAGCTGCCCGGGGGGAGATTCCGGGATATTTTCTTCTTGCTGTGGAACAAACGGGCTGTGGATAGGATGAGAATAGAGGCCAAGACGATTAGAACCCCAATCAGCATTGGATCCATAAGTTTCTGCAATTTCCTAATACTTCTCTTAGATGAGGACTCACTTCCGGTATGGAAGATAAGATATGGAGGAATGCGTCTCTAATCCAGGCCTATAAATAAATACTCCCTCCTTGCTCATAAAGGTTCTGAAAAAATGAAGTTTGTTGGCGTTTGCTCCCTCCTTACTCATAAGGGTATTGAAAAAATGGCATAGATATTACTCCTAGACTTTGACATAAATAAGACCATTTCTATTTTTTCCAAAAATATGACTTCAACTTAGTGCCCATCATAGGCAGACCTGCGAGCAACCGAACATCTCCTTTCATCTCTGCTTGATTTTGATAGAGTGCGCAACCGGTGGGCGTAGCTCAACTGGTAGGAAGGGAGTGCCACAAGGGTTAGGTCCCGGGTTCGAATCCCGGCAACTGCGATGAGGAGTTACTATGCTAAAAAATGCATAGGGCCTCTGCAAGTACCGGGGACAGAGCCTCACTCTCTATCTGTCAGATTGGGATTATAGTCCAACTTACATCCTCCCAACGTACTGTCCGGTCGGGGTTGGGGGGCCCTCAGGGATGGGGTGTCATCCTTTTTTTTTTTGATAGAGTGCGCACAGGCTCCTCACCGCTCCTCGCCGAACACCGTCCTGCCTGTTCAGCTGCCGCACCCCCTTCTTCTTCTTCTTCTTCTTCTACTCCTTTCTCTTCAGGGCCGGTCCTGTCGATTTTGAGGCCTATGAGCGAGATATTATCTTGGGCCTATGTTCAAGATAAAAAAGTATTCCCTCCGTCCCGAATTGAATTGCAAACTTTGACCGGCACAAGTAATAAGGAATGACAATAAATGATGCTTGCTTTTTACAATTTTGCTCATATTTCTAAAAGTAGATGTCTTTGAGTTAATGGGGAAAAAGTAAAAGTAAGGGTAAATTTGTCAATTTATTCTTATTCACATATCTAAAATAGAAAGTGAAAAATCATTTTGGGACAACCAAAAAAGGAAATTTTGCAAATCAAATTGGGACCGAGGGAGTACAGAGTAATCTCTAAATATCGATCAACGAAATAGGACCCACCACTGGTTTATTCTCTTCACCTAAATCACATTTATCTAGCTCAATTTCTATGTTTGCGGCTTCTACACCTATATCATTATTTCCAAGCATGTTATGATTTTCGTTCGCAAAAGAATTTAGCGCCGATTAAACTTGAGAAGAATTTTTGGGGTTCAGATTCTTAACAAAAACAAAATTTTCTATTGCCCCCTTCTTACTTAAGGCTGCCTTTTCTAATCTTTGTCTCTTTTTATCTTTTTCCTGACCAGATACATCCATTTTATCAACCACCTTCACAATATTAAAATGAAATAAAGGACTTCAATTTCAAAATTGCACAATACCACACAAATTTGAATTTACGAACACACTAAAAAATGCATCATATAAATCATTAATCATGCATAATTCATAAATCAAAAGAACATTGTATTTATTTTTCATAGCTAATAGATTGAGAATAATTTACTAGCTGTTGTCGGATTGTTTGAAGCCTTGATAGAAGAAGGTGTTGTAGTCGCCGGCCGCTTTTTGGGCTCCTCACCGCTGACCGCTTTGGCTAATGGCGATTTGCAGGCTTGCGGCGCTCTCTAATGTCTACTCTTGTGCGAGACGGTCAAGATCTTATTAAACCTTAGTCCTTTACTTCCTTAGATAATTGAGTGTAATTGCAACTTGGAAACCACCGTCCAAAGAAGTAATTAGGTTAGTGAGATAGGGTGATTTATGAATTGGGAGTTTGGGAGACACACGGGCTATACAAAGAGTTAAAGACAATAAATATTGTGGTAATTTTGTAATTAAAAGAATTATAAAGCGTAGAGATGTGAAGAGACTTTAACTACTCAAAGAGGCGTGCCACATGCCTTTTAACATTTGTTTTAAAATTTTTAATTTTTCAACAAAATTAAACCTTAGGCCTAATTACTTGAGCTTAAATACAAAAAAGAAGTCTACTCCCGCTATATATGAAGACAAATTTTTGGGCCTATTTTTCCATCCTATTTTTTCGGGCCTAGGGCGGTCGTCCCTGTTGCACCCCCCTAGGACCGGCCCTGTTTCTCTTCCGCGCGCAGCCGTCGCTCGAGCAGGTGCAGGGTCTTCGGTTCAGAAGCACGCCGCTAAAACTCAAATCTGCGATGCTCAACCGATGCTGCCAACTCGCCATTGTAGCCTCACTTCCCACGCCAACACAATAAAAAATCCAAACTGAATTTGAAGGATTTCGATTTTTTCTGATCTGATTCGTTCTGAGTGCTCATGTGCGGTAGGGTGCTCAAGTTCTGGTTGTTGAGGCGTGGCTGGAAGGTATGGTGTTGTTTGTGGGCTGTTACAGATGTACAAGGACGGGTGGGGAGTGGTGAGGCAGGGGTGGTTCGGGGATTTGGGTGACAGGGGAAGAAGAGATGAGACTAGGGCTGGGTGCATGGGGGAGCTTGGGGTCGGGATGGGGGATGGGGAGGTGACTGGGTGTTGATGAGGTAGCTGGGGGGTCAGACGGGGTTGGGGAGGTGGCTGGGGGCCAGGGCGGTGGTTTGTGGTGGTAGTCGGCGGCGGCTCTAGGGTGATGTGCAATGATGGGTTTGAGGGCAATCTGCAGTCTGCGGCGCCAGTCTTGAGGATGGGGTTTGGGGTGTGGTGGCTGCACGGCCTGCCGAAGTGGTTGGTTTATGGTGGTTCAATGGAAGGGACGGATAACGGCTGTCACTGGCCGGGAGAGGGGGCGGCAGTCACTGGCTAGGGGTGGCGGCAGTCACTGGCCAGGGGTGGCGGCAGTCACTGTCCAGGGGGCGACGACAGTCACTGGCCAGGGGTTGCGGCAGTCACTGACCAGGGGGCAGAGTCACTGTGACGGCGGATCACTGTGGCGGTGGAGATATTGTTGCGGTGAGTCACTGTGACCGGAGCAACGGCGACAGTGCCGATGACGGCGACAATGTTGGGGTCGGCGGTCATAGAGTTGCTGGTGCCTGCAAAGGAATATTATTAAAATAATAAATGTATGATTAAATAATAGGAATAAATGACTTTTAGTCACTTTTTTGGAAAAATTTAAAACAAGTCACATTTTTGTCTTTTTCATTCAATTTAGTAATATGAGAATAAAAAGGGCAAAGGTTTTTCACAAGTTTTAGAATGTTTGACTGATTGTTAAATTAAATAATCTCTTTCCAAATTAGATTTTTTTAGTAAATAAAATTTATATATTCATAACTTAAATTGAAATTTTTATACAATCCTAAAAGAAAAACTCCAATTTGATAAAGTTGATTATACTCCATAATACTAGTATAAAAGATTAAAAAAAGACTTTACGTTGAGCGGAGAATTGTGGAAGAGAAATTTGAATTGAACCGGGGTAGTGTTATAATTGGATAATCCATGTCCGTAAGTATTTCGTTTTTATCGAATACAAGAATTTCCTAAAAAGTGATATTCGGTTGAGTTTTTCATACCTTTTCATTTTTTCTAGAAAAACCCTACTATCGGAAAAATTTGTTTTTTCAAGCTTTGATCAGAATTGAAATTTGACCATGTCGTTTGATTAATCTCATCGAGGGAAGAAAACTGATATTTTTCGAAAGCCAACCAGCCACCGCATGCGCTGCCACATGTTGGGAGTGGGAGCACACTGTGTCACCCGCCAAACAAAAGCAGTAGATGATATGTGTCATCGCTTTCATCATCCGCCATTCATCGCCACGTAAGCATCACACAAGCAGCACCGTACCGTCTTCGGTAACGCCACATCAGCAGCCACATGTCCTCTTGCATCAACCAATGTGTCAGCGCACCGTCATCGCAACATCACCCCTGTCATTAATTGGATCCATAAGTTTATGCAATATCCTTATCCTTCACTTGGATAGGGAACAATTGATCACCACTTTTGTATTTTTTACTAAACCAGTGTGTGAAAAGTAATCTTCCGGTTAGGCTTCCTAATCTGAACCGCCATCCGAACAGAGGCGTTTAGGACCCTTCCCGGTGAATTTTTTTGAGCATGTTCTCCATCAAGTTTAGTTTATCCACAAACAATTGCAGCTAAAAATTCAATCCAGAAGGCAGTCAAATAATTTTTGGAAGATAACTGCGCCAAAATATACATATAAAAACGCAGTTATCTTTCAAAAACTATTTTACTGTCTTCCCGATTGAAGTTTTAGCTGAAATTTTGTGTGGGTAAACTAGATTTAATGAAGAATGTGTCCAAAGAATGTATATTATGTGAACTAAAACGGTATATTATGCACGTAATTGAAGGAAAATGGATATAAAAACATATGTGATGTTTTGAGTGGACAAAATGGTATTTATTGATTGTTTAAGACTCAATACACATCGTGTATAAGTTTCGGAGCAAACAGAGTACGTTTCGGCGGTCAATGGATCGTTGACCTGGGGCATACGGCGAACCGACGCCGGCCATGGGTCGCAACCGGTGCCGGTCTGGCTACGGGTTTCAGGTCCGGTTTTTGAAAAATGCGGTTTGTTGCTCGGTTTGAGGCGGGATTGATCCTGGTCATCCTATATATGTATATTTTGCATGGAATTGCATGGAATGTGATGTTTAAATACTAAGGCTTGATAGTTGGTGATTAAATGCTAAGACTTGGTTATAGTTCACCCGTGCAAACGTTTTGCCATATGTGTCCCATGTTTTGGTCTCAACCAGACACAAGGGAAGGCGTTGTAATGAATACCCTGTTTTGGGTCTACGAGCCCACGTTTTGCCATATGTGTCCCATGATTGACTATTGAATATTTCTGCTATTCATTTAATCTGTATTTTGATGTTGTTATGTATGTTTACTTACTGAGTATGGTATGAACAATGTTCATGGACGCCTTGTACAATCCAGTGAGTGTGACTCGCGGGTGACGTCGCTTGATTGTACGTTGGTTGTACACGTTCTTAGATGCGGTCTGAGGCATGACAAGTAAGTGGTATCAGAGCCATCTCAATTTCTAAACTATGTAATCAACCTCTCAAAAGAGTTTTACAAAAAGAGTTTATAAAAAATTATGAGAAATGTATTTTGGTGCATATAGAACTATTGTCACTCAAGGTTCAAGGTCTCTAGTTGTTAAGATGATACCCTTAACATTTGGTATGACGGTGATTTGGGACAATA